ATATATCAGAGAAAGAGAGATAGACAGATAGAGAGAGGTTGAGAGAGAGACAGACAGACAGACACACACACACACACACACACACACAGACAGGCAGACAGACAAAGAAAGAGACAGTGTGCTTGAGAGTGTTATGTAAATGGTACTGTTGTCTTTCCGCGAATCGTCCTGAAAGGATAACGCGGCTGGAAGTAAAAGATTTTTGACAAGATATTTAAGTCTGGAGGCTGTGCTCCAGGATACGGGCGATACAACTGTGTTAAGGACTGGAGAAAACATTAACCCTTATCGTCTCATCGTCTCAGATCTCAGGGGGCCATGAATATTTTGCACCAACTAGTCCATATCTGGAAGCAAGAATGGATTTCAAAATGGATTTTTCTGATTCTCCGTCAGGAAAATGTGTTTTTTTTTCAATCAGAAGCTGGGAATTTCGCAATTCTTTAAAGTAGATTACTCTAACGATAATAAGAGGAAACTATTTGAAATACCCTTCGACACTTTCTGACTTTGAGTATTTCGAAGGGTAATTTCGAAAGACATGAATAGCATTCAATTTTGATGTCAGATTCAAATATTATCACCAGACAGCTTACGAACTGTTTGTAAAACTCCCAACTCAACTGTGTTAAAGATTAAACCTTCTTTCTCACACACTGTCAAAATAGTACACAAACATGCTGTTAGCCTACATGGTATCTTTCTGCACTGCAGTATGTGTGATTCCAGTTTGATATGTTTTCTTGAGTTTTCAAAACTCTACCTATTTTGATCGGGCGTTAAATCAGTTTTTCTGGCGTTTAAATTGCTTTGCTATTTTGAAAGAAATTAAAAAGGAGAAAAAGACTGAACACATCACTCAGGATCCCCCCCCCCCCCTCAATCGGATTCTTTTTCCCTTTTCTAGTTACTTCAACATTCAATTTTTAGTCCACCTCTAGTTCTGTTCATCCGTTAAAAAGTTAGTTTTACAGAAAAACAAATGTATAACTTTTAGAGCGTGATTCCGAGATGCAGCCGTGCTACAGTCAAAGCTGCCCTAATCGCCACTCGTCCAAGACAATTGTCTGTCATCTGTACACATTTTCACCCTCCCCCACTCCGTTTGCATTTTTTAAACATTATCATGCCACTTCCCAAGATGTCCATCAGTCTAAGACATCCATTTCTCTCCTCTACAAAGGATGGCTCCCTTGGTCAATTTCGACTGCATCTAGATCTAGTCACTACCTCAAAATTACAGTTCTATTTGCTCAGTACCTAGTTTTGAGAAAGTTGACGTAAAAAATTTTGAGTTTCACAACATCTCAAGCTGTTTCGAACACAGTTCTTTGAAGATCTTGATAACAACTCAGAATAATCCAACGATTTTGTTAGAGGAGATACAGCATTTGATTTCTGACCTCATAGTCTTAACTACTCAAAACGACAAAGAATGTTAGATAAAACTTTGTAACTCTGAGGTAGCGAAGTGTTCTGATCATTTCAGTGAACATCCCAACAACACCTCGGTCCGACCTCTCACACAGGTCACGTAGATGCGGGGACACACGAGCGACTTGGGTGGGTAGATTACTTTAAAGTCTGTGGATGTGCCTGAGTAGTTCGATCACAGATAATAAAAGAGACCAACATGTAGTTTGACTATTTTGTGAAAATTGGCAAACTATTAATTGGTGTTAATTAATTACTCCTCCCTACTTCGACATAAGGTTAATTTGTGTGAGTCTGAGGCCTAACGTGGAGCACAAAAAAAAGAGATTTCCGCTTTGCAAACGTTTAAGTGCGTTCTATGGAGCCACACGTAAAATGATCTGGTATGGGATTAAGTATTGGTTGAGTGTAACCTATACTGGAAAATGAAACCATTAACCACGAAGCACGGATGCAGAAAAGAGTCCAAGCTCCCGACTGTTCCAGAAAAAGAGAGGAAAATGAGGGAAATCTCAAGGGTGGTCAGAGAGGATCGGAGCATGTGAGGGTTAAAGACTCAAGAGCACATTAGGCGTGCAGAATCCCGCGGGAGAGATGGTGTTTTGTGTCACATCACAAACACGAGAATGCTATTTAAACACGGCGATTTGAGCACGATCAATAAGCACTAGAAGACGGCAAATGGACGCCGGGTGAACAAAAAGAGAGACGGAAAAAGAGACAGGGAGACAGGGCCGGTAAACGGGAGTCCCCTTGGACTTTTCCTATGTCTTAAAGCAGACATCGCCTGGATCCGATTATCTACCCCCACCCCTCCCCCTATCCACCCCTACCCATCTTATAACTCATAGAAGAAATTTTGTGAAACGGTAGTAGGTGCGAACAAACTCATCAATGTGATACTACTAACTGACGTGTACATGATCTGTTGAACAGATGTTTAAAAAACCCCAATTAAATACAATTCAAGAATACTGACTATAAACGCGTTTTTGCACTGTACAAAACATGTGAAATGTTAAACGCCTATTCTGCAGTGAAAAGAAAAAAAAAATAACAGGTCTCGCCAGAAGTGAAGAACAACGCGTGAGAACCTTTAAAATCCTAATAATTGTAATGAACATGGGAGAAACATGTTAGAGGTTACGGATGAATTACTGGGTGAGCTTACGATACTGTGGAATAGGTACTCGAAATGTTTTCCGAAAAGGGGATCAGATAGACCACTGCGTTAACTATGAATAAAAGCTGTTGAATTATAGATAGCGCGAGCAATAGAATAAAACGTGTTTTGGGTGCACGAGGGTAGGGTGTGGAGGATGGGGTTGGGCGGGGGAGGGGGGAGGGGCTAAAGTACCTACAGCTTTTCTGAGCTCAAATGCTACTCAAGGGACCCATGAATTCGCTTTATGATTCAGTTAGTCTGCATGTGTTTGTGTGTATGGGAGGGGAAGGGCGCGTGTATGAGAGTGTGAGTACGTGTGTGTGTGTGTGTGTGTGTATGTGTGTGTGTGCGTGTGTGTGTGTGT